TTGGTCTCACATGCTTCTCAGCCTCCCAAACAGCAGGGATTGGGCATGCTTCTCCATTGGTGGCTTTTACATGTTCTACCCTCTAGGAGATCAACAAAGCCTGGTCCCCGGAGTCCCTCCTGACCAAGGGCCATGACAAGAAGGTCAAGTGGCAACACGTGACTCCACTCTCCCTCACAGTGGGAAAGCAAGTCAAAGACAAGCTAGCCTGGCTCCTGTTTCCCTCTGGTCTGGGATCTAAAGTGGTGGAGATCTGTCCCTGTGCTGTGTGTGCAGATCGTGGTCTTGATTATTTGTGTGTGGACTGTTCTGAGCTCTAGCTCCAGGTCAAAAGTAGAACAGTGTCTAGGGATGCATGTACCCTGAACTGATGAGCTGTGTCTAGGAACAGGCTGCTTCAGGTGCACAGAATTCTACCTGACCTGTTTGAGTTCAGCTAGGTGCACAGAATTCTACCTGACCTGTTTGAGTTCAGCTAGGTGCACAGAATTCTACCTGACCTGTTTGAGTTCAGCTGCCCTAAGACTTTCAGCTGTGGGGCATTCTCTCTGTAAGTTCAATCTAGTATGATCTAGGGGTTTTAAACAACAGAGCTTATGAGTTCCACTGTCCTACTCTGTTTAAAGAATGTTTAATCTGTCCAAAAAAGGTAGTGCCAGTACTGGTGTGGACAGTGATAGGTGGATTTCTGTGAATTTGAGGCCAACCTGGAATACATGTGGAGTTCCAGGCCAGTCTAAGCTACATGGGACCCTAAATAAAAGGGGGAAAAGATGAGCAGGGCATGGTAGTGCACACCGTTATTCCCATCACTCGAGGGGCAGAGACAGGCAGATCTTTGAGTTTGAGGCCAGCTTCAAACAAAGTGAGTTACATGACAGCCAGGGCCACACAGAGAAATCCTGTTTTAAAAAACCAAATAAATGAATGAATGAATGAAAACAAAAGGGGAAAAAAATAAAAACAAAGGAAGGCAGTTTCAGTGAGATGACTCAGTGGACACAGGCATTTGTACCAGATTTGGTGACCTGAGTTCAATCCCCATAACCCACCTGGCAGAAGGAAAGAATCTACTCCAGCAGTTGTGCTCTGACCTCTACCTGGGAATGGGGGCATCTGCCCATTCCACAGTAATGTGGGTGATAATCGTTTTTATTTCATCTCAATCGGAAAATCAGGAGCCTAAGTAGGAATATTGGTCAGGAGCAGTTGCTCCTTTATTGGACTATCTTAATTTTTATTCTTTAGTAACATGTAGAGGGGTTGAGTTATAAATGTGGATGATTTAGGTGGCCTTAATGACCTTGTCAACTTCCTAAGGATGACACCTCTCAGAAGTTAGTTAATTGCCCGTGGAATAATCCTTCTTAGTGCTCTGTAATGAATTTCCTGTAATAGACATGTTTATAACTCTTGGGCATTGTAAAAAGGAGCTTTCTCAAAGTTTTAAAATTATAAGGAAGGTAACTTTTATAAAAAAAAAAGTTTTGGGTACTTGGAAAATATGCAAAAATCCAAAAAGTGCATATACTTGTAATCTTAGCACTCAAGAGGCAGAGCTGGAGAGGCAAGCACTTAAGGCCAGCCAAGGCTACATAGTAAGGCCTGAACTAGCCTCAGCTACATTGTAAGAAGGGATAGCAACTATTGTGGGTTCACTTCAAAAAACACTGTAGATGCTTCTGGAACAACAGCTTAGAAAAGTCATACTCTGCCTCCACTGCCTGGATGACAGGCTGTTCTTCACACAGGATTTCTCTTCCAACCTGGGGAACAATGAGCATTCACAAAGAAGTCCATGCTGAGTCAATCTCAGTGCGCTTCTCAGTGGGACATGCTGCATCCTAGGCGAGGAGGATGGTGAGCATCCCTGCACTTACCTTGCTCATGTTCTCCATGCCTCCTGCCACCACAATGCTGGAGTCACCTATGGCTATGGACTGGGCTGCAAGACACACGGCCTTGAGGCCTGAGCCACAGATCATCTGGCAGCTCCATGCTGGAACTGAGTAGGGGATCCCTGCACCCACACTGGCCTGTCGAGTAGGATTCTGCCCACAACCTGTAACAAGGAACACAGAAGCCTCTAGGCCATCAAGGAGAAAGGTACACATCAGGGTACAAGTGTAGGCTAAATGCTCTCGAGGAGATGGCCTGCCAACTTTGTCCAGGCCAGCTAAGTTCTCACAGAGGCACAGATGCCTGTTTCCCTCTCTGCCTGCCACTCTAGACCTGGGACAGGTGGCAGCTTGTGAAATTCCTATGTGTTTCTGCGAGAAGTCTCCTCCTCCTCCTCCTCCTCCTCCTCCTCCACAAACAAGTTTCTAATACCTAAGATAGAACCTAAAGATCTTCATTTCTAGAGGGCCTGACATTTCCTCCCAGTTGGCAAGAAATGTCATTAAGACCAAAGGTGACAGCCAGCTAGTAAACACAAGTTGTAATTCAGACATGTAGAGCATTTGCTCCTAGAAACTTGGCACAGAACACCTAGGAAGAAAAGGGGGGCAGTTACTGAAAGAGGAAATCTGTGCATAAAAGCTATATAGAAAACCATGCTGGTGTGGTAGCTCACACCTGTAATCCCAGCAGTTTGCAAATCGAGGCAGAAGGTTCACAATAAATTTGAGGCTAGTCAAAGATTTGTGTCTTTTTTAATTTTTGTTTTGCCTTTTCGAGACAGGGTTTCTTTGTGTAGCTTTGGAGCCTTTCCTGGCACTCGCTCTGTAGACCAGGCTGGCATGCGCCACCAATGCCTGGCTTCTGTTATTTTTTTTAAAGATTTATTTATTATGTATACAGTGTTCTGCCTGCATGTCAGAAGAGGGCACCAAATCTCGTTATTAATGGTCGTGAGCCACCATGTGGTTGCTGGGAATTGAATTTGGGACCTCTGAAGAGCAATCAGTGCCCCTAACCTCTGAGCCATCTCTCCAGCCTCCAAAGATTTATTTATGTATATGAATGTTTTACCTGAATATGTGTAGGAGAGCACGCACGCACGCACGCACGCACGCACGCACGCATGTTTGAGGGTGTCTGGTACTTTTGAAGGCCAGAAGATGGTGCTGGATTCCCTGGAACTGGAGTTAAGGGGGCTATAAGGCTCCAAGAGGGTGCTAGCAACTGAGCTCACAGGTCCTCTATAGGAGCAGTAGAGCTCTTAATTGCTGAGACATCTCTTCAGGCTCGAAGAGAGGAAGATATGTTTTAGAGACACCTGTGTTCCTCAGTCTATCACACTACTGAAACAATGAACCCCCAAACTGTAAGAACCCTAGGAATCTCATGCTGAGAGAAGGAAGAAGCTAAAGTCTGGTAGCAGGCAGATGTGGAACTTCTCTCCTAGAAAAAGGTTTCATATACTCTGACAACTTGTCAGACCATATTGCTAGAGAGACCCAGACAATGGGCCAATAGTGGGTGGGGCAGTAAACTGACCAGACTGTTTAAAAGCACAAATAAATCTCCAGCCCTCTAAAGTTTAATCTCACTTCTAGACCATGAAGGTGGATGTGAGAGGTCACTGGGTCTCTTTGCCCAGTTTAACCAAATTAAATAAACCTAGTCAACCTGCACACCTACAAATGTTCTCAGTAAGAGGAGAAGTTGGTTTTGAATAGTAACAATCATCTCTACAATCAATTCAAATGTATGCCGAGGGAGCATAGGGGAAGGCAGGACAGCGAATGCATGACCACACGCATGCTAACCACACACTTCACCACCTATGGCGGTCCGCGCCGCAGAGACGATAACCACGGGGTCCGAGCCTGCACTCATCCCGACGCCCTGCTTCCTGCCAGCCGTCAGCCAGGAGCCGTCTGCCACTGAGCTACACACCCAGGCCCATGTCAGTTATCAACAGAGAAAGGTCAGTTGTCACTGTCTACAAACCCAGCAGGGAGCAGAGGAAAGTGAAGGCATTCTCAGGCTCTCCTATCTTCCTCCAGGGAGGGAGGAAGCCCCCATGAGTGAGAAACAACCTAGCTCATGACAAGGGGACAAGGCTATACCTGTTCTGCTACAGCCATCCTTCCTGCTGCTGGCACAGTGCCAGGCCCACAGTTTGATTGAATGTGTGGCATTTTAGGGGTATGTGGAGGACTATGCATATCCCATGCACCAGGCTGGCCTTGCTTCTAACAAGGCAAAGGCGGTACAGCTGGGTGGTCTAGGATCATCAGGGAAGAAGTTTGTAAAGAAGCTGTGACCTCAGCTAGGGGAAGGAGGAGGGACAGAGAGAATCCTGGCAGAGGGAACTCTAAGAAAGAAATGTCCAGTGGTGTGTGTGTGTGACAGAGAGTGCAAATAAATGGTCTGCTTCTAATGAGCCTGATCTCTCCCATGTTCGGTGGTGTGTGTGTGTGTTCCTGCGTGTTCCTGTGTGTTCCTGCGTGTTCCCGCGCGCGCCTGCAAATAAATGGTATGCTTCTAATAAGCCTGATCTCTCCTGGGATTACTGAGGAGTTACCTGCCGTCAAAACGTGTCCAAATATGACCTCGGACACCTCTTCTGGGGCCACCTTGGCCCTCTGCAGGACTTCTTTGATGACAGTTGTCCCGAGGTCGTGGACAGGCACAGTAGACAGGGCACCATTGAAGGAGCCTACAACGGAACAGGGTAGAGGGGCGGCACCTGAGCCAGGAGCACACTGAGCATCACCGAGGAGTAGGGTGTAACCGCATGCTTTCCATACAAAAACGGCTGTCGCCGGGGCGGGCAAAGGTGATGGGGACTTGCCGGACAATGCCGAGGCCAAAGCCTGCCTCAGCCCCTGCTCAGACCACTAGCTCCGGGCCCTCACCACCACAGCGTGACCGATGGTGCTTGGCGGAGCGGGCCAATCAGGGATCAGGAAAGAGAGCGCGTCTCAAAGGCAGCCAATGGGTGAGTCTGGCAGAGCGGTGGCTCTACGGCATGCAGCCAATCGCAGCACGAGGGGCGAGCATAGGGGAAGGCAGGACAGCGAATGCATGACCACACGCATGCTAACCACACACTTCACCACCTATGGCGGTCCGCGCCGCAGAGACGATAACCACGGGGTCCGAGCCTGCACTCATCCCGACGCCCTGCTTCCTGCCAGCCGTCAGCCAGGAGCCGTCTGCCACTGAGGTAAAACTTCCTTCTGTCTCACAAGCCGTGCTGGGGGCGGGGCTACGGCCTCCACGCCCCGCCTCCACGCGCCTGCGCGGCACGCTGGGCGGGCCCAAGTCCCGGAGGAGGTTGGCATGTAGGTTCTGGTTGTGTTGGATGGGGTGGCATCAACGCAGTTTGTTGTTCTGGTCAGGGTGGGGGGTAGACAATCCGGGGATAGCCTAGGGGTGTCGGAGAGCGATGGGGTGTGCAGACGGTCTGGAGGTCTTAGGTGGGGTCCGTGTAAACGGTCTAGGGGTGTCGACCTGGATGGGGTCTCCTCCAGGTGACACACTTCAGAGAGCCTCGCCTAGCCTTTCCTGGGTAGGCACCTCCCGCCCCTTCCTCCTCAGTGCTGACATCCCTAGGTCATGGATCACCAGGGCAATGGATCTCTGCTGTTTCAAACCCTTTCGGACTTCTTACTCAGCCAAAGGCATTTTGTCAGACTTGCTACTTGCCTGTGTCTGCCTAGTCATGTTGGTTTGCTTCTGCAGCTTGCTGGCCCACAGAGAATGTCACCTATTTAGGAAGTCACGACCCTGTGCTGGAAGGAAAGGCTTTCTAGGCAATTCTCGCAGTGAGTGGGAACAGTGGACAGCGGAGTAAGAGTAAGGTGCCACGGGTTGTGAGGAAAACAAACTGACATAAGCTGGGGCCTCCTCCTGTAAATGTAAATTGAAAAATATTTTGAGAGATGTAGATGGGTCAAATGGGGTTAAAGAGAACAACAGAGTTTCCTTCTAGAGAAATCCGTAGGGTCTGGAATCACTGTTCCTCTCTACTACAAGCGCTCACTCTAAGTCTAGTAGTCTGGGTTGTGTTCCCTGTTCCCTCCAGTCCAAGAAATGCAAGGGATTTCCCCATGCTTCATGCTTATTACATTTTTGTAAGATTTAATTTTTGTACATAGATGTTTTGCCTGCACGTATGTCTGTATACTGTGTCTGCATGCAGTGCCTGAGTAGGCCAGAAGAGGTTGTTGGATCTCCTGGGACTGGAGTTAAAACAGATTGTTAGCTGCCCTACTGTAGGTCCTAGGAATTGAACTCTGGTTTTCTGGAAGATCAGTTAAGTGCCCTAACCCCCAAATAATAAATGATTTCTTCTTAGGAGAAAAATAAAAAAGAAGCTATTATTCTTTTCTCCATCCATGATTTTAGCTTCCATCTGGCCCATGCATAGCTCTCGGTAGCCGAAGACTTCTCGGTGTTGCTGCTGCTCATTCAACAACAGCAGTCAGCTTCTTGAGATTTTCTCCTCTGCATACATGCCTGGATCCCCTGAAACTGGAGTTACAGAAAGTTGTGATCTAACATGTGGGTACTGGGAACCAAACCCAGTTCTCTGCAGTAGCATAAAGTGTTCTAAACCACTGTGCCTTCTCTCCAGGCCTCTGTTTTCCCACGACTCTGGCTACTCTTTAGTCCCCTTTGTGGGGTTACTCTCACTGCCTCTTCCCCAATTTTGTAGCAGTTCCCCGGGAAGCACCGTGTCTACTCCATCACTTCAGTTACCACCCATTATTTTGGCAGCTCTGAAATCCTCTCTAACCTTGTTGCCTATGAGCAGACTGGTCCTCTCTATTTAAACTTTCTGTAAAAATATAAAATTTATCATATCTAGTCCAAAGTCATTATATCTACCTCTTTGGCTTATTTCTTCTATCTGAAGACTCAGTGAGTGAGTGTAGCCTTCTGTGGTGAAGCTAGAAATCTCTTGCACTTCACTTAGATTGTACTTCTTCCAGGAAGCTTTCCTAAATGCTATCTTTGGTGTCCCCTCAGCTCTTATTCCTAATCTTATTTTTTACTTAAACATATAATTCTTAGTTCCCAGTTTCCTCTATACACTACACCAAGTATTCTTGATCCCTTATACTGTTTTATTATATGTGCCTAGCACATTTGAGGCAGTTAATCTGAGCAACACTAGTATATACCTTTTGCTCTGTGCATAAGAATAAATAGGTGTGGTGGCCTCAGGCCTATAATCTGAACATTTGGAAAACTGACAGAGGAGGGTCAGGAGCTCAAGTGTAGACTGGGCTACTCTAACCTCGTTTTTGTTTGTTTTAATAAGAAGAACACGGTCTATGGAGTTCTTTCAGCGATTAAAGTATGTGTGCAATCGAGAACCAGAGTTTGGATTCCGAGAACTCATGTAGATGTTGGGTGGATGTGGGGGTCAACCTACAATTCCAGTCTCATGGTAAGCCAGGGACCCTTGGATCAAGCTGGCTAGATAGATAGGCTGTATTGGTTAGCCGTTGCTTTACTGAAATGCCACAAAAGTAGAATAGCAGTTAAGAAGGATCTCTGACACCAGTCTCAGGCCTCCACACGTGAAGAAGTGAGTAGGAATCTATTCTTTTAGGAACAAGGTGTGCATTCACTTGTCCCCTGCCTGGAGGCTCTACCAGGCACCAACAGAGGAGAAAATCTCAAGAAGCTGACCGCTGTTGAATGACGAACAGCAACACTGAGAAGTCTTTGTAGCTCCTTACAACGTCTACCGAGAGTGCTATGCATGGGCTAAAATGCAAGCTAAAACTTGCATTTTAATGGAGAAAGGAATAATAGTTTCTTTTTTTTTCCTAGGAAGAAATCATTTATTGCTTTGGTTTACAGTTGCAAAGGGATAGAGTCCAGCATGGCAACAGGCAAAGGAAACTGCTGTTCACATTTCAATCCACACAGGAAGCAGAGCTAGAATAATTTTGTTGTTGGTGTTTTAAAATTTTGTGGGTTTTTTGTTTGTTTTTCGAGACATGGTTTCTCCATGTACCCCTGGCTGTCCTGGAACTCACTTTTGTACACAAGGCTGGCTTTAAACTAACAGATTTGCCTGCCTCTGCCTCTTGAGTGCTGGGATTAAAGACATGCATCATCATGCCTAGCTTTTTCTTCTTAAATATGTGTATGTGTGTGCATGGCATGTGTGCAGGAGCCTGTGGGGGTTAGAGGGGGCTTCGGATCCTCTAGAACCGGAGTTATAGATGGTTGTTAGCCACTTCATGGATGCTAGATACTAAATCTGAGTTCTCTGCAAGATCAGTAAGTGCTTTTCACTGCTGAACCATCTCTGCAGCCCCTAGAATAGTTTCTTAAATAACACCTTTATTTATAGGCTGGCAAAAGAAAAAAGCATTTAACAGTGCTACTGACTGTCCTGAATGGGTCTTGCAGTCATTCTAGGGTTGTTTCATGAATTGTTGCAGAAGTCTGTCAGAAAAATGTTTTGTGAATATTGTTTTACAAAAAGCCATGTTAAATACAGTTGAGAGGACAAGCTCATCTGTTGAAGTCTCTTTAATAAGCACTTTGACACATGCTTACATTCATCTTCCCAGGAATAGCATTCACTGAGACAGTAGCTTCAGTATGGCCTGAATTCTCAATCCTGCTTCACCTCCTCAAAGTGTTTTGATTAGACAACATCAGATAACAACCACCATGACTGTTCATTCACCAAACTGAGAATATGACAACCGTCTTCCAATGTTGAACTTAACAGTGCTTTTAATTCCATTTGTCCATAAATCTTTTTTTTTTTTTTTTTTTTTTTTTTTTTTTGGCCATGCCAGGGATAACCTGGGCTGTGATCATGCTAGGCAAGCACTCCACTACTAGCCACACCCGTCTTCAAATTGCTTCCAAGGACTGTATTTAACCAAGCTTGTCTTAGCCTGCCATTTTTAACTATATACTTAACGCTTTTATAATTTATAATCTCAGTTACTGCATAGCCATCTCGTTGATCTTCTCCAGGTACAATCTCCAAATAGCACAGCAACCTCAAAGACTGTCCTCCCCAGGTTGTCGTTGTCTTCTTCTTCTCTCTCCCTCCCTCCCTCTTTCCTTCCTTCCTTCCTTTTATTCTAAAGGGTGAACACACACAGGCAGGAAAACATTAAGGGCTGGGCTCAGCTGGGTGGCCGGCCAGCTTTGAAGTGATATTATCAGGGACACTAAATGATTCCTCTAAAGAGCAGCCTTAGTATTATTGAAGTATTGAAGGTGTCATTACCACATTCTATGAAAAGGACAATGACAAAGTTCTGGCAGTTGCACTGGTGGGGAGAAGAGGAAAAGAGAAAGCAGTATCATCAGAGTTAGGCCATGTGGTAGACAGGCTGCTACATGGCAAAAGGGAGTATGGGGGCTGAAGAGATGGTACATCTGTTAAGAGCCCCAGCACCCATATGGCAGGAAGCTCACAATTGCCTGTAAACTCCAGTTCCAGGGGATCTGATGACCGCTTGACCTCAGCATATATTAGGCACACCTGTGATACACACACCTACATTCAAACACTACTCACATGAAATAAACCTTTTTTTGTTTTGATTTGTTTTTGGAGACAGGGTTTCTCTGTGTAACAGCTCTGGTTGTCCTGAAACTCTGTTTGTAGACCAAGCTAGCCTCAAACTCATAAATCTTTTTCTTAAAGGGAGGTAGGGGGCTCCAGAGAGGAAATGCAGTATTGAGAAAGCATACTTAGACCATGTAAATCAGATAGCAGGCCAATTGAGGAAGCTGCCTGGCTGTGGCTCTGTATGCTGACTGCTATAGGGCAGAAATTCTAGAAGGAAAACTACATTATCTCATTAAAGGTGTAATTATTCCTTTGCATGCCTTATGGTAGGTCTGCCTTAAGCAGTGTTCCCTTAGCCAGGTGATCAACCTGCCCAGCTGTACTGCACTAATTCTTAAGGGAGAGGACAATGGCGTGTTTCCACTCAGAGACAGATTCTAATCTTGTGGCTAGGAGGCAACAGTTTTCTTTTTAATGGAACTACAAGATCCTATAACACCAGAAAAAACTACCATTCAAACTTATTTGGTAAGTTATCAAGTAAAAACTTGTATTTGGCTAGGTGGTGGTACACACCTTTGATCCCAGCACTCAGTAGGCAGAGACAGGCAGATCTCTCATGTTGAGTTCCCAGGACAGCTAGGGAAAACAAAATCAAACTTGTACTTGAGTAGTAGCTTGACAAAGGTCTGTCACCAGAGCAGAGACTTCAGGATTTAACAGTGGCTGACATTTACTGTGTGCTTGACACTTGCTGCACATTGAGTGATGTATCCCTTCCACCTTATTCCCCACTGATGTGTTAGGAGTTGAGACCTTTGGATCATAGTGACCAAGCCCTCCTGAACAGGCTATGAGAAATTAGATGACTTCTCTACCTTGTGGAGATACAGCTGAGATCTTCACCAGGAACCAAATCAGCCAGTATATCAAAATCACTTCACACATCCAGCCTCCAGAACTGTGAGAAATAAATGTCTGTTGCTGATACCCAACGTGAGCTTGAAACGCTTCATTTCTACCAACTCAGCTAACGATCTTTTATGCAGCAGGGCTCTGATCATCTGAGAAGATTACCAGTAATGCCAGAACTCAATCTTACTACTTTCACAAACCACTTAACCTGGACAGGATCCATCCATCACCTTTCCCCAAGTGAAGCATCCAATTCCAGAAATTAGGACTGCTGACCTCACATGCAGCCATAAATCCTAAATTATTTGCAAAGTAGACTCAACAGAAATGTGACACTATTTTGACACTAATAAGCCTATATTAGATTTAGTCATAGTTACACTGCTGTTGAACAATTTCCTTTTGCATGCCAATGATTACATGCCAATAGACTAGGAAAAGCCATGTTTTTGTGTAAATTGGGTAAAAGGATATGTATATATACAAATAAAGCCAAAGCCCAATAGAATTTCATAAATCAAGGGAATCTTTTAACATACATCAAACTGGTTAATTTTATACAAATTTATTTAAAATCATATAGGCTTTATTCATGTAAGACAAAAGCTTAAATACTGCAGTCTTTTTGTTTTATTGAGACAGGGTTACTTTTTGTCCTGGCTGTCTTGGAACTCACTCTGTAGATAAGGCTGGCCTAGATCCACCTGTCTCTGCCTCCTGAGTACTGGGATCTAAAGGCATGTGCCGATGCCACTACCCAGCACAGCACAGTATTTTTAATGTGCCTCTGAAGAACATAGATACTTGCCAGCTAGGCAAGCAAAAATACAGTTCTTTCCCAAGAAATGGTATCTCAGTTTCAAGTGTTAAAACTTCACTCTAAAGTTCCTTGATTATAAGTTAACTAAGAATCCCATTGTTCTTAGAAGAAACGTTTCATCATAACCATCTATGAAAAATTGCAGATCTAGAGACCTTAAGACCTCAATACTTCGTACTACTAATTATACTAACAGTGAAACAAATTGCAACAACCCTTTACAAAACTTTTCACATCTTCACACCCATAGATTTCCTTATAATCTATGCAGGGATGCTGTTTAAGAAAACCAATAGTTGGCCAGTGCTTTAAAACAAACATCCCTGACTCTTAAAGATACACCAATTCCCTGAAATCAGATCTCAAGAACAAATGCTCTTCAACTAAAACATAAAAGATTTTTTTAAGAAGTATTTATTTTATTTATTTATGTATACAATCTTGTGCCTGCGTGCCAACAGAGGGCACCAGATCTCATTCAAGGTGGTTGTGAGCCACTGTGTGGTTGCTGGGAATTGAACTCAGGACCTCTGGAAGAACAGTCAGTGCTCTTAACCACTGAGCCATCTCTCCAGCCCAAAAATGAGATTTTTAAATCAAGGGAAAAAACAAAACTGAACTGCAGTCATAAACTCCTACTTCATTCTGCAAGGAAAAAAAAAAGTACAAATTGTCAGGCATTGGTGGTGCACTGCACACCTTTAATCCCAGCACTCAGGAGGCAGAGGCAGGCAGATCTCTGTGACTTCAAGGCCAGCCTGGTCCAGAGAGAGAGTGCCAGGAAAGGCTCCAAAGCTACACAGAGAAACCCTGTCTCAAAAAACCAAAAAAAGACAAAACAAAACAAATCACCAAAAAAACAAAGTACAAATTAAAAATCAGGTGCAGTAAGATTTTAATCTGATCTTTATATATGTTACAGGATAAGTAGGAATTTAGCAATTCAGTGAAAATAAAGAGCTACTGCTAAACACACCCAAAACAAAAGGGAAAAACAAACAGAGGAGTCATAATAAAAATTTTTATTTAGGTTTGGTCAGTACAGGTGAGATATACTGGAGTCACAGGGCAATATGCATTAACAGGAGGACACAACAGTTCATAAAAACTTAGTAACTATGCACACAGATTTCTTAAACATTCAGTCACCTAAAGATGAATGCACAGATGGTGGAAAAACTTTATCTAACACTGAAACTACTATAGGACTCCAAGTCCAACTTTTTAGTGATAAAAACTACTGTACTGGGCAAACTTGGCAGTCATAACCCACATCTACTCTAACAAGCCTGAATGGTGCATAAGTCTATAACAGCATGAAGAAGAATGCCCTTACACAACACAGCTTCTAGATAGACACAGATTTATACAGACATCATTGTTATAGATTCCCATTTACAACTTCACATTAACTCATATAAAAATAACTTGACCCTACACAAAATGTTCTTTTAGCAATGTTCAAAGTAATTAACTGTTACGATTTTCAAAGTGGCAGAGGTATTGAAGCAATAAAAAAAGAAAAAAAAAAAAAAAAGAAAAAAAAAAAGGAACCAAACAAAAACACACCCACAAAAAGGCAAATTGTGACAAAAGTATGCATTAATTTGACAGTATCCTCTCCCAAATTAAATGACACTGTATAAAAATTTGCTGGAAAAATATTACAAAACTGAACCCTGTACATTTACACTTGAGTCCAAGCCATTCTGAATGTGGCGGGAACCCACAGTTCGATTACCTTTCCCACTGACTGCTTTCTCCTCTTGAGGGTCATGACTGGAGTCTGTGTCATTTGAGTGATGTGTGAGAGAGTTTTCACTGCCCGTGGGAGAGTCTACACTTTCATACCCCGCACTGAGTGGGTTTATGTAACTACTACCTCCTCTGCCAGTTCTCTCCTCTGAGCTGTTGGAGGCCTTATTACCATTCCCTGAAGAAGAAGGAAAGTCATCCTCAGTTGTGTTCCCCTCCCTGTGAAATCCAGACCCAGACGTCCGCTGGCGGGAGGAACTGCCATTACTTGGTCCATTTGCCAGACGACTGCAATCTTTGCTTGTGGCCTCTGCCTGATCTACAGGTTCAGAAGATGTAGTCCTGCTGGTACTTGGGCCTGAAGCTTGAGACTGCTGCTGCTGGTACTGCGCCAACTGCTGTCGTGTCTCCTTCAATTGTTGCTGAAGAACTAGAATGGTGCTCTGCATACCCTCTACTTCTTCGTCAAGTTGAATGATGAAGTCATTCAGTTCTGTGCAAAGAAGAGTCAAGCCTACTTTAATATCTGAACATATTTAAAAACATTTTTGTTATGTGCATACACATGCACTCACCTGTGCATGTGTGTATGAGAGTCTAGATGTCAACATAGGGTGCCTTTTTTTTAAAAAAAGATTTTATTTATTATATATACAGTATTATTATGTACCATGTATCCCTGCAGGCCAGAGGAAGGCATGGATCTCATTACAGATGGTTGTGAGCCACCATGTGGTTGCTGGGAATTGAACTCAGGACCTCTGGAAGAACAGCCAGTGCTCTTAACTTCTGAGCCATCTCTCCAGTCCCATAAGGTATCTTTCTTCTATAGCTTTCTACCCATCACTGTACCTGAAACTTCCCATTTTGGCTAAATCAGCTGACTACCAAACCCAAAATGTACCTTCCACACGATAAGCACTGGAGTAACAGGCCAACTAGCTCCACACCTAGCTTTTTATATGGGTGCTGGGATCCAAACTTAGGGCCTCATTCTTGCATGGCAAGCACTATGCCCACTAAGCTACTTCTCCAGCCCCCTCAAATAGTAAGCACCCGCCACAAAGCTAAGTAGTCAATAAATGTTGTTCTAAAATTGGAATTTACCTGAGGCTGGGCATTGGTGGCGCACACCTTTAGTCAAATTGGAATTTACCTGAGGCTGGGCATTGGTGGCGCACAACTTTAGGGCAGAGGCAGAGGCAGAGGCAGAGGCAGAGGCAGAGGCAGAGGCGAGACCAGCCTGGTCTACAAGAGCTAGTTCCAGGACAGCCTCCAAAGCCACAGAGAAACCCTGTCTCCAAAAAACCAAAATCAATTTACCTGGAATTCTAATAATTTTAATCACTATTCAAGAATGAGTTTGGAGGGTAGCTGGATGCTTTAAATATATTAAAGTAACCAAGTTAATTGCCAACCTTCCTGCCTCATATAATTGACAACAGCCATGTAAAATCTTAACTGTGCTGACCCGAGAGTCCCTACTCTTCACCCTCAGCCAGTGCCTTAAATTAAATCTACAGCAGGTCCAGCCCTCAGGATAATATTGGTTCTTTAACCCCCCCCAAAGAGGTCTGTTCCACACACAAGAAGACAATTATCTAAAAAATACCTGGGGATGGATTGCTAAAGTATACAAGTCCATTAACTTTCTGAAAAGACTTTGAGAAAAACAGCCTTTTAGTTGCTACTTACCATCTCCCACTTACCATGTTTACAAATAGTAAAAGTGAAAAGCGACAGTATTACCCACCAACCTGCTTTGCAACCAACCAACCAATATACTGATTCCCAGTTTGTATGTTCACAGTATGGTCCCATTTTTTACTATTAATCCACGTCACAAGAAAAAAAAATGCAGCTACACTTGAATAAAAACAGGACTATGGTAACAATTACATTTGGTTTGTCTTAGCAAATTTAAATACCGAATCTCCTTTTTTATTGATAGGACCTCAAGGAAATATAACTACGTTACTTTCTGAGCACAGAAATATCAAAGTGTTTCCAAGATTCACATTTTCTAAAGTTCCCAATATCTATTAGTACGTTGGGGAACACTCTAACATCAATTAAGTGGCGTTGCTTTACACGTCAATGGTAGGTGTTGCATGCACGATTCTCAGTAGCCAGCACATGCACAGACACTGATGTATGGCAAGCCTGGTAGCCTTTAAAGCCAATGCAAAGACAGGCAAACTTTAAACAACAAACCCCCTTACCATCCTGACTGCTTTTAAGCTCCTCACTATATTTCTTCTGTAAAGCCAACTCTGCTTCAAGCTGTGCAATACGGCCCTGGGACAGCTGCCTTCCAAGCTCCTGGTTCTCCTGGATAAGCATTCGACACTTCGCCATTAACTTTTTGCCTGTTTGGCTGCAAAGGAAAGAGCCAATCATCACAAAATGAAGACAAAGCTCTCTATAGCCTTTGCTCACAACCATTACAGCACATGTACAGAACATAACTATGTCACAGCAGATGCCACCCTGTAATTACCATCTTCTTTTCTGGAACATGTCCATCTTCTGCACTTCGGTATTTACCAATAGAGCAGCAAAAATAAACCTTAAACAAAAAGGGCCAAAGAGCCACTTTTTGTTTCTGCTGTATCAATGTTTTCATCCTAAATCATTATTTGAAGTATAAGCAGGCCATTTCACACATATCTTGGAAATACTGTTAATGTAACATGAAGGTACTACTCTTTATCAAACAAAGGTTCTTTAAAAGTATGTAGAGTACCAATTACAAATGTATGCCTCTTTACCACCCATAAAATACCTGTAAAGGAATGAGAACATATTCTTACTAACAAACACACATAAGGGATTCCTTTTAATAGGTAGCTCTCTGGTACGGGTATCATCTATATAAGAATATAGCTTTTAAAGGACTTGCCAAATAGAAATCCATTAATTCTTGATTTAACTTAACTGGAACATAATTTTTGTTGTTGTTTTTATATAGTAGAGAGTAGAGGATAACTGAAATTACAATCCTCCTACCTCTTAAGTACTAGGATTACAGGAGTGAGACACTATGCCTGATGAGCATTTTAATACTGGCATGTGATTAAAGACTGTATAATCCCAAATCACAAAGATCCAGGATTATTTTCCAAACCTCAAATTATCTGTCAGATTAGGAGCACCACACTTAAAAAAAAAAAAAAAATATATATATATGTTTACAGTGTTCTGCCTGCATATATGCCTGCAGGCCAGAAGAGGGCACCAGATCTCATTACAGATGGTTGTGAGCCACCATGTGGTTGCTGGGAATTGAACTCTGGGAGAGCAGCCAGTGCTCTTTAAGTGCTGAGTCATGTCTCCAGCCCCGCACCATACTTTTGAACACTTTAATTTTCAAATAATAGGGCCGATGCAATACAAGAGAACCAACAGAGTAATAAAACTGAAGCAACAATCCAGTAAAACTTCACTGCTTTTAGCCTTGGCAATAACAGCAGAAATTATAACTTTAAAGGTATTTGGCTTCAATTTGCAATACTGACTTTGAGATGTACATATGAACAATTTTACATTCTTCTCACTGGGTTAACTCCAGAATGTTCTCACTGCATAAGAACACTTCTGTACTGTTACATTCTTCCTAGTTGGGGGATTTGCACTTGCCAGATACACATAGTCCATCTGATCCTAGCAGACACTAGAGTTCCAATAACACTGTGTTGAGAACTCTCCTACTGGGGATGCTGCAGGGTTATAGCTTATGTTATAATACAGTTCAACAACAAAAAATTGTAATTAGAATTTTTTACATGTATTTGTGCAACATTAAAAACCAGGTTCCTATTGTTCAAACGAACCAAGGCATAATAAGTCAGTTTCATTTAACACATTCCCTTCACTGCTATTGTAGCTCTAGATCCCATTTCTATCAGTCCCCTCACTCCACAAGTCCTTAGAAATTAATGAGGAAACAACATGTGACACCACTGCAAAACAGTGTTATCTACTTCCTTCTACTTGATGAACCAATAACAACTTTGTTTCTTTTCCTTTTCTTTTCTTTTTTTTTGAGATAGGATCTAGCCAGGCATGATGGTATCTGCCTTTAATCCCAGTAGAGGCAAGAGGATCTCTGAGTTCATGACCAATCTCGTCTACAGAGTGAGTTCCAGGACAGCCAAGGCTACATAGAAATACCCTGTCTCAAAAAACTAAACTGGGGGTAGGGGTGGGGATAACATAGGATCTCACTGTGTATCCCCGGCTAAACTAGAACTATTAGACCCGATTGACCTCAATCACACAGATTCTGCACATTTCTGTCTTCCAAGTGCTTGATTAAAGACATGTGCTACCACACCTAGCCAACTGTCTTACAAATCACATGCATCAGATTTTTCCAACCAGAAAATTCTACTTTCCTGTGAATGAAGATTGGGGGAGGGGGCAATTGTAAAATATATTAATTGGTCACTTGACCCCTTTGAAAGACACCAAAAAATTTATAGTAAATTATTTATGTGACACACAGAGAAACCCCGTCTCAAAAACAAAACAAAAAACACCCCCAAACAACAAAAAACCATGTGTAACTCAGCTTAACTACCCTGTGGATGAATGCTTAGGAGGCTGATGAAGTTCTATTGTAAGCTGAAGCTAGTTCTAAGACATCATTGGCCATACAGAGAGATCCTGTCTCAAGAATCACCTCTAAACTTACACTTACTTAAAACAGTTTCAATTTTATGTAACTATGTTGAGTGAAATCGGTGGTTGTGGTCATCAATACACACACAAGCACATTCCACACATAAAATAGCATGGAGCTGGAGTGTACTCTGATTTTGGCAGTGATACTCTCTGCCAAAGAAAAGGCTGAGGACACACACAGCTCATTTATAAATTGCTTATCTAGTGTGATCAAGGCCCCAGGTTCAGTCAGTCCTCAGCACCACAAAAAAAGTAGGAAGAGAGAACTTAATTACATATAAATATTTGGAAAAGAAAAGCAGAGGCCATTCCTTTCATTTAAAAACATTTCTTTTTTTTTAAATGGGGGCTGAAAAGTTAGCTAAGAAATTAAGAGCACTGGCTGCTTTTCCGGAGGACCCAGGTTTGATTCCCATCATATACATACATTGTGGCTTCCAACTTTCTGTAACTCCCAACTCCAAGGGATCTATCTGATACTCTCTTCTGGCCTCCACATGCATGTGGTACACAGACAGACATGCAGACAAATCATTTATATACATGCAAGAACAAATCTTAAAAAACAAATGCCCATCGTAAAAGTATTTCTGTCATCTTCTCTCTCATAAATATATGTATATGTGTATATGTATATGTGTATGTATGTATGTATGTATTTTGCCTGCATGTAAGTCTGTGTATCACATGCATTTCTGGTCCGAGGTGGAAAGTGTGTTAGGTCCTCTGAACTGGAGTCTTAGATAGATATAAGCGGCCATATAGGAACTGGAAACTGAACCTAGGTCCTCTGGAAGAGAAGCCAGTGCCCTTTAACCATTGGGCCATCTTCTCTCTAGTGCCTCTTAAAAAAAAGCCTCAATGTGAAGCTCTGGCTGGCTTTGAACTCCCAAGTACTGGGACAATTCCTAAAACCAAATAACCACAAACTATACTTACAGACTTATGAAAAAGAAGGGATATCCTTCCTTTAATTACCAAAGGAAGGAAGCCAGGTTATTTTGTAGAGATGTACATACAATTGCCTAAACGACCAAGTGCAAATTGAAGATTACCAGTATCATATTTCTAAACACTCTGATGAATGTCTTGTCAAGTAAAATAGTTTGAAGCAGACAGTATTACAGAGACTCACAGCCTATCTCTCATCAGCTCTTTTGTTCACTTTTTGAAACAGAATATATAAAGATACTCCCTGAACTCCCCATTCTCCTGTACCAACCTCACTCACCAATGCTGGGATTAAAGACATGAGCCACCATGGCCAGCTAAAAAAATCCTTATCCCTCAGAACTGGAACTGAAACTAAGAGGGGAAATAACATATATACATACAAGAAAACCTAAAGCCCAATCACTTAAATCATTCCACATTGATTACTGATTAATCATTACTTATTTTCAAATTAATAATGTATTTTTAATATCTGATTCATTCTGGCTTATGATTTAATTATATATAATAAAATCCCATTTATGGATTGTTAAGACTAATAAAAAGAAACACTAAATAACCATTAAAAGGTAGTAATATTAGGTATGCTAAAAAATA